AGCTTGAGCAGAGAACTTTGTGATTGCCACAAAGATGTTGTATCCTGCAGAAAGGTCAAGGAACGAGGAGAAAATTCCCCTTTTCTCTCACAGTGAAGTCAAAGATTAGTTTAAAGTAATTGTGACACCACAGGCTGAGGCACAACACAGGCAAACTCTCCCTCTAGACAAGCAGCACAGAGGTGCCAGGAGAACCAGCATCAGGGCACAATTTTAAGGAGAGAGTCAAGCTTACATCCTAAAAAGTCCGGAAGCTCTGAGGATGGCTCCATTAGTGCAAAAACAAGGCAATACAGACTGCCCGACACATGTATAAAATTATCTACAGTGATTAGCCATAAGATTCTTTTGCAGTATTTTCAGCATATCACATTAATTCTCTGTTTCTGTATCAATGACAAAGAAATAACCATCTCAAGCACATACAGAGCTATACAGAGCAATCCTCTTAGAGATCAGATCATTCCTGGGAGAGAAGGAATGCTGATCCGTGCACTAGAGGCTGAACAGAGATGACAGCCATATGCCACTTGGCAGAAGTCAGGGGGCTGTTTGTTGCTTTTTCAGTATCCCAATTCTAATGAATTATAAAATAGAGCCTAAATTAATAGTCAAGAGGACTTTATCGGGGGCCCACACTTAGGAGATGCTCATCTGGGAGAATCTCTTTCAACTCATAGACTGTTTGACTTGATCAAAGGTTCTTGCTTTTCGATTGACTTCTGTACAATCCTCAGACTCAAGAGCTTCACGAAACAAGAGCCAGGCTGCCTCCCACAGAAAATTCCAATCCCAGTGAGATGTCAGTCTCATCTTAAAGGCCAACTGCTTGGAAAGCAGGAACTTTTGAATATTAATACACTCATACAATAATGAATGATAGGGCTGCCAGGCTGTACACTTTAGCAACTTGGTACCAGCTAGACTGATATTTGATTCATCTTTATCTGCACCAGAATGTACATATTTGATGTTTAATGGCATAAGAACAATCAAACAAGTCCATTATCTCTGCTGGGGGTAGGAGGGCTGAAATGGCTTTATCCCAGCTTCTGGAAAAAGATGAACCAGACAAAGCTTTTATACTTTTGAGTGAGAGCTATACTCAGGAAGTCTAGTATTCACTGGCTACAGGACACACTGGATCCATCCAAGGACTGTCCTGAATTGCATGAATAAGGAATCTTCTGAATTTATCTGCTTAGTCTCTGACAGACTGAGTCCTGCATTCCCACAAGGCTGCCTAAATAAAACTCACTGTGTGCACACAGCTGAACCTCAGGGAAGGAGACAAATACTGTAGGTCAGAGAGGTAAATCTCACTTCCAGTCTCTTTACATAAAACCACAGGGAGCAGATACAAATTAAGGCAGAAAAACTATTCCACCTTACAGATCTGCTGCTGCTAACTGCTCAAACTTGAAAGGGTAGATAAACATACCATCCCTATCTTACAAAACTAGGAAACTTGATATTGAGACCTTGTGGTTTAGATTTTCCCCAGGTTAAGAAAGATGGTGGAAATGTGATGAACTTTGCAAAGTTCTTGAACAGAGATTAGAATCACAGAATCATTTATGTTGGAAAAAGATCTCCAAGATCATGGACTCCAACCTTTGACCAAACACCACCTTGTTAACTAGACCAGAGCACTGGTCCAGTCAATTCATGAACACCTCTGGGGATGGTGACTCCACCACCTCCCTGGGCAGACCCTTCCAATGTTTAACAACCGTTTCCATGAAAAAATTCTTCTTGATGTCCAACCTGAACTTCCCTTGGTGCAGCATTAAGGAACCGTAAAAACATACCGGCAAAGGAACCTGTCCAAGGCTGAGTGTACAAAGCCATGTTCTCTGGGGGGAAAGTGATGCTCTCGCTTTTGGCAAATTATTATGGAAGAACCACTTGAAAATTCTACTGTGCCAAGCTCAGATAAAGATTTAGGAATGTTTACCCCAAGCACTGTAGTGCCACATAGATGCCTGAGACAGTTGTGAATGACTTGAGTATCTCCACAGCTCAATGTCCTGTGGAGATAGCAGCTCACGTCCCAGAAGGAGGACAGCCACATTAGCGTGGCCTTGTGCCCAAGCTAATTAGGTGACGCTCTCCCAGCTGCCAGAAATCAAAGAGTGAATCATACATCTGCCAACATCCAGCCTTCTTCTGAAAGCACAGTCTGGAACTATTTTGAACCTCAGTTATGGGAGAATGAAAGGTGAATATAAAGACATAATATCACCATTTTTTTTTGTTTCAAAGCTAGAAGGAATCACAAATTCATCTGATGAATTTATCTGACCTGTTATCACAATGACTACACTTCATCCACACTGTGTCCAGGCAACAAACTTCAGTCAGCCTAAAGCCCAGAAGTCCTTCAGGCACTGATCTAATCTGTGTGTGCCACAGGCAGAGCCCAACCATATGCTGCCAAAGCCAGGGCTACAGATATGGCAGACAACTGGTCAGGTGGTAGTTGTCCAAACTGTTCCAACAGAGATCTATTTCTTATATTGCACTGGAAGGTGAAGAATCCCATACTCCTACCCATTAGTTACCAGCTCTGGCAATCAGGATAAATCCCAACAGGTGAGCAAGACATGCAGAGCAATTATCCTGAAATAATATTATCTGCTGGATCGAAACAACCAGCTCACCAGAACCACAGAATGGTCCCTTGGAAGGGACCTTAAAGACCATCTCATTCCAGGCCCTGCCATGGGCAGGGACACCTTCCCCCAGCCCAGGTTGCTCCAAGCCCTGTCCAACCTGGCCTGGAACACTTCCTGGGGTGGAGAAGCCACAGCTTCTCTGGGCAACCTGAGCCAGCGCCTCACCACCCTCACAGGGAAGAATTTTTTCCTAATATCCAGTCTAAACCTACACTCTATCAGTGTGAAGCCATTCCCCCTTGCCCTGTCCCTCTAGGCCCTTGTAAATAGTCCCTCTCCATCTTTCTTGTAGGTTCTCTTCAGGGACTGGAAGGCCTCAATTAGGTGACCCTGAAGCCTTCCCTTTTCCGGGCTGAAAGAAGGAAGCCATCCTCTGGTGATGGTCAGTTTCTAATATCCAAACTAAAAAGAACAAAAGAAAGACCTAAATAAGGGAGAAAACCTCCTTCCTGACCCCTGTGAGCAAACCAGAAAGGTCCAGGAGCATGAAGTGAGGATGGTTGCTGCCTTTCAGAGAATCCTAGAACGGCTTGGAAGGGAACCCTAAAGATCCTCTAGTTCCAATCCCCTGCCATGACAGACCTGTTTTAATGCAGAGCTGCAAGTATTTCCGGGATGATGCAAATTACCCTGGACACAGCTATAAGGGAAGGGGTTGGAAAGGGAGATGTTCATCAGTCATAGCATAGGCCACTGCACTTGACACACAGACATAGAACATCTTGTCCTGACTCGAATCAAACCCCTCTTTTAAAGTGATAAATTATCTCTGACTGAAAAGGATAGTGATGGAAAAAGGACTCCAATGTTTAACTACACTGAGAGATGTGAAACTCTCTCATTCCAAGGTGGAACTTCTCAAATTTTAGCTTCCAGCTACTGGAGCTTGTTCTGGTTTATCAGGAGTTGAAGCTGTCAACCTGACTGTGAGGTACCTGCAAGGATTACTTGACCATAGTGTTCATAGAATCATGGAATGTCCTGAGTTGGGAGAGACCCATATGGATCATCAAGTCCAACTCCAGGCCCTGCACAGGACACACCAACAATCCCACCCTGTGCCTGAGAGCACTGTCCAAATGTTGCTTGAGCTCTGTCAGGGTTGGGGCTGTGACCACTGCCCTGGGGAGCTGTTCCAGTGCCCAGCCACCCTCTGGGGGAATAACCTTTTCCTTCTACCTAGCCTAAACCTCAGCTGACATACTGCTATGTCTCTTCACCTAGTATAACATGCCTATTCCAACCACCAGGTCAGTTTTCTGGGCTCCATATCCTTTTTTCTGTCCCTCTTTGAATCCCCAGCAATATTTCCATATGATCCTTGGAATGGCAACATAGGAACTGCAGAAAATGTCCTGAGATTATACTGACCCTGAACACAGGGAACAGCTTCAGACTAAAGCCCTTTTCATATAAATAGGAGTTGCAATAACCTCTCTGGGCTCACTGGAAGACACTTATCCACAATAGCCCCTGGATCCCTTTCTGAGTTACTCT